GTGTGCGCGCGAGTGTGTGCATGCGTACGGTTGCATGTAGACGCGTGTCTCATGTGCATTCCGTGCATGTGTTGCGCGTGGACGAGGCGAGAGAGGAAGAGGAGGTGAGAAGGGAGGAGGGAGGGAGGTGAGTGGGTGAGTAGGACGCGGGTGCGCCGCAGGTGGGAAGAAAACAAGAACCACACTAAACATGTGGTGAAATTTAGCTTGCCGAAGGACCCAACCATATGCAGTTGCGAGTGCCAGCCGCATTGTGGGTACCGCTTTCGGTGGAGCCCCCTGTGGGGCCGCGAAACGTGCGAGGGGTGCGCCGTAATCGGTGGCGCGGACGCATGTGGACACTGCCAGTGGGGCTTTCGGCTGAGCTCCCTATGGGGCCCTGGGTGGCGTTGACGCAGGCGGCCTGTGCCACTGGAGCTTTCGGTGGATTTCCCTATGGGGCCACGAAACGTTGTCCTGGGTGGGGGAGACGCATGCGGCCTGTGCCAGTGGAGCCTTCGGTGGAGCTCCCCATGGGGCCACGAAACGCCGTCTTGGGTGGGGGAGGCGCATGCGAACAGGTCCACCTGGGCCTTCGGTGGGTCTTCGTGGGGCCACGAAACGCTGTCCTAGGTGGGGGAGACGCATGCGAACGGTGCCACTGAGGCCTGTGGTGGGGCTCCCTATGGGGCCACGACACGTTGTCCTGGGCGGGAGAGACGCGTGCAAACGGTGCACCTGAGGACTTCGGTGGAGCTCGCTATGGGGCCACGAAACGCTGTCCTGAGTGGCGCTGACGCATGCGGACCTTGCCACTAGAGCATTCGGTGGAGCTCCTTATGGGGCCACGAAACGTTGTCCTGGGTGGCGTTGACGCATGCGGCTTGTGCCACTGGAGCCTTCGGTGGAGCTCCTTATGGGGCCACGAAGCGCTGTCCTGGGTGGCGTTGACGCGTGCGGCCTGTGGAACTGGAGCATTCGGTGGAACTCCCTATGGGGCCACGAAACGTTGTCCGGGTGGCGTTGGCGCATGCGGCCTGTGCCATTGGAGCTTTCGAGCGAGCTCGCTATGGGGCCACGAAACGCTGTCCAGGGTGGCGTTGACGCATGCGGCCTGTGCCACTGGAGCGTTCGGTGGGGCTCCCTATGGGGCCACGAAACGCTGTCATGGGTGGCGTTGGCGCATGCGGCCTGTGCCACTGGAGCTTTCGGTGGAGCCCCCTATGGGGCCACGAAACGCTGTCCTGGGTGGCGTCGACGCATGCGGCCTGTGCCAGTGGAGCCTTCGGTGGAGCTCTCTATGGGGCCACGAAGCGCTGTCCTGGGTGGCGTTGGTGCATGCGGCCTGTGCCACTGGAGCCTTCGGTGGAGCTCGCTATGGGGCCACGAAACGCTGTCCAGGGTGGCGTTGACGCATGCGGCCTTCGGTGGAGCCCCCTCATGGGGTCACGAAACGCTGTCCTGGGTGGCGTTGGCGCATGCGGCCTGTGCCATTGGAGCTTTCGGTGGAGCTCGCTATGGGGCCACGAAGCGCTGTCCAGGGTGGCGTTGACGCATGCGGCCTGTGCCAGTGGAGCCTTCGGTGGAGCTCCCTATGGGGCCACGAAGCGCTGTCCTTGGCCACGAAGCGCTGTCCTTGGTGGCGTTGGCGCATGCGGCCTCCGGTGGAGCCCCCTCATGGGACCACGAAACGCTGTCCTGGGTGGCGTTGGCGCATGCGGCCTGTGCCATTGGAGCTTTCGGTGGAGCTCGCTATGGGGCCACGAAACGCTGTCCAGGGTGGCGTTGACGCATGCGGCCTGTGCCAGTGGAGCCTTCGGTGGAGCTCCCTATGGGGCCACGAAAACGTGCGAGGCGTGTGCCGAAATGATGGACATGCGGAGAGCAGAGGCAAGATGGGGGAGGAGGGGGGGGGGGCAGCGGGCAGCGGGGAGGGAAGAAGGGACAGCGGGAGGTGAGGTAAGGTGACGCCGGGCGCTGTCTTTTCAAACCGAGGGCCCAACACCACAGGATGGTTGGGAAAAGCGTACCGTCGGAGGTTTGGTGATCTCCATGATTTTACGTTGTGAAAGGTTCATGGTGGCGGGAGCCTGTGGCCGAGGGCAGATGATGACACAGTAGGCGACACGGGAGACGACTAAGGAGAAGGGAGAGGGAGAAGGAGGCATGGGGGTGCGAAAGAATGATGATGGGGATGATGATGATAATGATAATCAGAATGATGATGATGATGATGATGATGATGATGATGATGATGATGATGATGATGATGATATTGATGATGATGATGATGATGATGCTGATGCTGATGCTGATCATGATGATGATGATGATGTTGATGATGTTGATGTTGATGATGATGATGATGATGGTTGTGGTGATGATGGTGGTGATGATGATGTTGATGGTGGTGATGATGATGTTGACGATGCAAGTGATGATGATGATGATGACGGTAACGGTGACGACGATGTTGATGATGATGATGATGATGGTGGTGATGGCAATGATGGTGGTGTCGGTGATGGCGATGGTGATTGTGGTAATGCTTATGCTGATGACGATGATGCTTATGATGATGATGATACTGATGATGATGATAATGGTGATGGTGATGGTGATGGTGATGTTGAGGGTGGTGGTGATGGGGACGACGACGACGGTGATGATAGTGACGAGATTGAAGATGATAATGTTGATTTTCATGATAATGATGGTGATGATTATGATGATGATGATGATGATGATGGTGATGATGATGATGATGATGGTGGTTGTGATGGTGCTGATGCTGGTACTGATGATGGTGATGCTGCTAATGATAATGATGGTGATGATGATGATACTGATCGTGTGTTGATGATGATGACCCTGGCGATGACGATGACGATGAGATTGACGATGACGGTGGCATTGGCGCTGACGATAATGGTGATGATGACGGTGATGATGCTGAAGTTGATGCTGATAGGGATGTTGATGATGATGGTGGTGGTGGTGTTGGTGATGATGGTGGTGTTGGTGATGGTCATGATGATGATGATGCTGCTGATGATGACGATGATGATGATGATGGTGCTGGTGATGGTCATGATGGTGGTGATGGTAATTGTGATCGTGATTATGCTGATGGTGGTGATTGTGATGGTGATTGTGGTGACGATGATGATTATGATGATGACGATAGTGACGATGATGGTTGTGATGATGATGGTGATGGTGATGATGATGGTGGTGGTGAAGAGGACGACGTCGACGGTGATGATAGGAACCAGGATTATGCGGATGGTGATGATAATGATTGTGATGATGAGAATGCTACTGCTTATGGTGATTCTGGTGGTGATGACGATGGTGATGGTAGGAAGGATGCTGGTGCTGGTGCTGATGATGGTGCTGATGATGATGATGATGGTGATGGTGATGGTGATAATGATGGTGATGGTGATGGTGATGGCGATAATGATGATGGCGGTGGTGGTGGCGGTAGAGGCGGGTGTGGTGATGGTGGTGGTGGTAATGGTGATGGTGATGGTGATGGTGATGGTGATGGTAATGGTGATGGTAATAATGATGCTGCTGATGATGATGTTTATGATGATGATGATGATGATGATGATGATGATGATGATGATGATGATGATGATGATGATGATGATGATGATGATGATGATGGGCGTGAGCATTAAGATGAAAATGATGGTGATGAGCATGGGGAGGAGGAGGAGGAAGAGGAGGAGGAGGAAGAGGAGGAGGAGGAGCAGGAGGAACAGGAGAAAGAGGATGAGGAGGAGGAGGAGGAGGAGGGGCAAGGGGAGCTTGTGGAGCATGAGAAGGAGAGGAGACGGGAGGAGGTGCACTGGGCAGGAGCGGCAGTTGAGCGGCGGAATGGTTAGGAGGGCGAGGGTCAGGAAGAAGAAGAAGAAGTAGAAGAGGACGGCGAGAATTGTGGGGAGAGAGGGCAGCAAGAGAAAGCACGAGGATCTGCGGTGTCGCTGGAGACCTCCAGTCAGGAACTTTGGCTTCGCGCGCAGCTCCGCCGTTTCTGGCCCGCCGCGCTTCGGCGGCGACACGCGGACCACTTCCCGGTCTGGTCCCCAGGCGTCCACGTCCTGAGCCTCTCCTCGGGGGCGGAAAAGAGGGGGGTGATGACTAGGGGGGGGGGGATATCATGGCGTGGGCCATGATACTTCCCCAGATCTCATGGCGCCTCCTCTCATGTCCCTGCCCCCCCCGCTGGGCCGCGCACATGCCGCCGGTCATGATTTGCACCCCCCCCTCTTGGACACCCCACTCTTGGCCGCTCCCGATCTCCCAGCTTCCCGTCCCGCGGAGCGGAGAGACACGCTATCCGGTTGCAAGGCATCGCGTGTCGCCAGGGTTGCCGCCTCGACGCGCTAAAGCAAAAGTTTCCGACCGTAGGCGTGCCATATATTAAAGACATCGTCGTGTCCAGATGCTCGGGCAGGCATGCGAGGATATGCCAGAACGGGGGGAGGAGCAGCAGCAGGAGTAGGAGGAGCTAGTAGATTCCTGTTACGCCTGCGACCTGGGTTGGTCATTTCGTTAGAGTGTACTGGGTTCGGTAAGATGCCAGTTGCTGGCTTGCCGTGGATACTTATCGTTTCAGCGTTTGCAGATGGCTCCCACACGAGAATCCCATGCGAGGTGAGGGCAATTCCGTAGTGAGCATTTGGGGGGAATTGCTTTGCGCTCGTAGTTTGAAAACGGTGATCCCCATGATCGTCCTTCATCTTCCTAAGTCTTTATTCCCCTTCTCCTGCTCTCTCATCCTTCCTCATGCCCTCCCTGTCTTCCTTTCCCCGTCCCTCCACCACTCCCTCGCCGCCCTCTCATCGATCTTCTTTGTCGCGACACATCCGGCGGGAAAAAGATTCACCGACACAAGTAAACGTCGATGTCCATGAACATATGTTGAAGATTGGGAGAATGAATCGGATCCAGGAAAGATTGGAAATATTGGGGATCCTGGAATTTGTGTCTATTCATGTGTGATTAATGGGCCTCTTCAGCACAGGCTTTCCACTGGACTCAGCAGCAGAAGCAGGACGCCGGGCAGGACGAGGCGCCTTGTGCTCCTCTGCATCGTGCATGCCTTGCTTTTCCCTGTCATGATGTTTTCTGCTCCCTCCCTCCATCCACTGGGCATCGCTCGGACGGGTGCATTTTTCTGGGCGTGGCCAGCGCCAGATAATCTAAACCATCTTGAAGCATCTTGGAGCACCTTGCGACAAAAACGAAACCGAGAAATACACGGGCAACGGACGTCCGAGCGATGGCAAGATCCAGCCAGGCATTCCAGGTGCAATGGTTTTGGATGGCCGAATAGTCTCTCGCCCGAAGATCGAGAGTCCAAGGTCCATGGTTTTGGGAGCCCTTCTGATGTTCCAGCTCCCGGAGGCCGCTCGGGCGGGGACCTCTGTGAGGGGCAACGCTACGGGGGGATTGGCTCAGGGGGAGAGAGACACCGATCTGGAATCGGCGACACGTCTCTGACAGATCGGCGATGGGACCCCGATGGCAAATCCGCACGTTCTGGGCGGGGTGGGCTATCGGACCCCTGTCGGCGATGAATGGGCCATTGGGGGGTGCCGATGCTCGGAAGCCGGGCAAGGGCTGCTAAATCCGTGGCTGCTAAAATCGACCTCCGGGAAGTTGTATTCGTCCTTCCGGGAAGAAGCCCGTGGATTGTTTCGCGTGCCGCGCCTCATTCCGGGAAGTTGTTTTTTCCTTCCGGGAGGGCCGTTTTAGCAGCCACGGTTTTAGCAGCCCTCGCCCAGCTTTCGAGATGCATCCTCCCCGAGCCTATCTCCAATCAATGACCCTCGTCGTCCAAGTTGCGGGTCATAACGCGGGTCTCCGTCGGCCAGTCGGGACGATCCGGGTACCCTGAAGGGCCCTCGGCGAAGCGCAGCCGCAGCCCGAGGCCTGGAAAACCGCAGAGAACTTACGAAATCGCAGGAAGGCCAAACCTTGAAGGTCGGAAATTGGAGCGTATATACTGCCAGTGGCGGGCTGCTCTTCAGTCCCAGGACTTTTCAAGGGTCGGAGACGACATCGGGGAGGTGTGGTGTGTACCTTTTTCCCGTTTTCCCCAGGAAACAAGGAAAAATGTATGCACCAAGATCCTGTATACACCAGGATCTGCTTTCCTGTGCGAGTCTCAGCGCGGGGCTGCAAAAAGCGTCGGTGTATAGAGCTCGGCTCCGTAGAAAAGGGCGACGGAGGGGCGATGCGTCCCCCCTTGAGACCATCCCACCCTGCAGGGCTCGTTTCGATTCCTCCGATTCGGTTCGATTCGACTTCGATGGATTCCGATTCCGCTTCGATTCGATCTCGGATTCCGATTTGGGCTCCGATGTCTTGTGGGCGCATACTAGCCTGCCGATTTCCGCCGATTCGACTTTTCACGACTCGGCTGCCGATTTCCGCCGATCCGATTCATGTCGATCGCCGATCCGACTTGTCGATCCGATTCTGGGCTCTCCTGGCGATGCGTCCCCCCCTGAGACCATCCCCCCCTGGCGTCGCCCCCTGCTCTGAAGACCTTTGGGGGACCATCTGCCCGCGTCTGCCCGCCCACACGTTCTCTGGAGAGTCGGCCTCGTCCTCACGGCATCGGAGGCTTGACCCTGGCTTCTCGGCCGAGGCCAGCGCCGGAGAGGAGGAGGAGGAGAACGAGGAGGACGAGGAGGAGGACGAGAAGGAGGAGGAGGAGGAGGAGGAGGAGGAGGAGGAGGGGGAGGAGACAACGGCGGCACTCCCCGGCGTTGTTCGTCATTGTGTGGGCCTCCTGAAAGCTGTTCTTCGCCACGGCTGGATCTGCCTCGAAAGGCGGGTCGGGACCTAGACATGCTCGCGTCGTGAAACGATTCAACGCGGAGGTCCCAATACGTGCATCGATTGGCCTCCGCAGCCATCTTGGCTCAAGCCGATTGGGCTCAGAAGCCGCTGGGGCCCGACCCTGCCCCGAGATCCTGCGAGCCGGCAGCCCCGCCGGCCTCGAGGCAGCCATGGCCAGCGCGGCCCGGGCCCCCCCGGCGGCCGGGCGCCAGGCCGCCCCCGCTCGGCGCCGCGCCGGGGGCGACGCCCGCCGCCCGCCCGCGGCGGGCGGCGGGAGGCCCGCCGCCGCGGCGGCGGCCGCGCCCGCGCGGCCGGGGCGCGCCCAGGGCCTCGCCGCCCCGGCGGAGGCGCTGGGGCTGCTGCGGGCGGCGCCGCTCGGCGCCTGCCCGCCGGGCGAGGCGGAGGCGCCCGAGGGCCTGTGCGAGGGTGCGCGCGGGGTCGAGCGCCCCGCCGCAGCGCAGGCCCCGGGGCTGGGCCAGGGGATGTCCCCTCAGCTCCGCGTGCGGAACACGTTCGTGGACGCGCCGCTGCAGAGGTCCCCCTCCCTGGACCGGTTCTTCGAGCCGCGCGCGTGCAGCTCCATGCCGCCGACGCCCCAGGGGCGCCTGGGCCGCCCGCAGATGGCCGTGGCGGCTCTGGACGAAGACCTGATCAACACTCCGACGGACACGGTGCCCGCCTACATGATCAGCACCCCGACGGACAGCGTCCTGGACGGCATGTTCCCCACCCCGAGGGGCGAGTCGCTGTCCTGGCCGCGTCCGGCCTCGCCGATGCTGCAGATGGGGCGCCTGCACCAAGTCGGCCCCCTCCGCCTCAGCCTCTCGGACGCCATCGGAACGCACTCCGACCCGCCGCTAGGCGCGGCGGCGCCGACCGCCGCGCCCACGGCCGTACCGGCCCTTCAGGACATCATCGGGTCGGGCCGCCCGCTTGGCCAGGACGCGCTGCCGAGCCGCGGCTCTGCGCTTCACCGGTACGGTGCCTGCAAGCCGTGCGCCTTCATCTACCGAGAGGGGTGCAAGGGCGGCGTCGATTGCCAGTTCTGTCACATGTGTGAGCCCGGCGAGCGCAAGGCGCGCAAGAAGGAGCGGCTGGCCTCGAAGCGCGACGCCACGGGGCAGACGCGACGCGACCAGCCGTCTTTGAGGCGGGGGCTCGGCGGCTGCTGAGGTGGCCGCGCGGGGCTGCCTGTCGCATTGTGCGCGGCGTGCACGCAAGCGGTCCTCCGAAGCAGGACGAGATTGCGTGCGAATTCAAAATTCGGGTGGATTGTCCATGCTCTTCTCTGGCCCTCCCTTTGACTTTTTGTGGGAAGGTCTCCACGCCCGTCTCCGATCTTGAGGGTCCTGCACGAGCGTCTTTTAGAGTTCTCGCGAGAGTGTTTTCGCTGCGGGCACACGGGCTTCGCGATGCCACGCCCGCGCTTTCCTGCGGCAGGAGTCCTGCTGGCACGCGCAGGCGGGCTGCTACAAAAGCAGCGGGCCGCGCCCTAGAGGCTATGCGTATCTGTTCATTTATCTGAATCAGCGCATGAAGCCAGGCTGGTTCGCGCCGGTGCAATGGCACCCGGCATTCTTACGGTAGTTAGAAGAGTGGCACCACCAGTCGCACGACGCGGAGAAAAACACAAAAAAGTGCATCGATTAACCCACATCACACATGTCCGTTGCGAGCGTCTGCGTGCGAGAGAATTTAAACATGAACGGGTTTGAGTATGATCATCTGGGGTCAGGTAGTAAGTCTGAGTGTGAGTGAGCCTGAATGTGAGTGAGTCTGAGTGTGAGTGAGTCTACGCGCAGGAGTGAGTAAATGTAGGTAGTCTAAGTGGGGGTGTGAGCGTGAGAGGTCCGAGTGCATTGAGTGTGAGTGGTCTCAGAGTGAGTGTGAGCGTGCGAGGTCTGACAGTATCTGCATGTGAATGTTGTGAGAGGTGTGAACGTTGAGTATGATGTGTGTGAGTTTAGGCTACGTGTGTTTGCCACCGAAGCAATGAAACCGCCTGAGACGACCCTACAGTCTGGGACATGTGGGATGCTGGACCAGCGCTCCGCTTGAGACATCGTCACAGTCTGCTCTGAACGCAGACGAGTCTGGGGTCCGAAACAGGCAGACCGCCTGAGACATCCCCGCAAGCTGGGCGCGAACGGGCCCGTGATCTATCCCTGAAAGGGCTCCCCATCCCAACAATCTGGGCGCGAATCCTGGAATGTCCCCACCCTGGCGGCTCCCCCTTGAACGTGCTGAAAACAGCGCCTCACCTGAGACATCCTCACAAACTGATCCGAAAACACGTGGCGTTGCGCACACAACAGGCAAACCGGCTGAGAGCTCTGCACAATCTGGGCGCGAATCTTGGAGTGTCCCCACCTTTGGCGGCTCCCCCTTGGGGTGCCCGAATACCACGGCTGCTTTATCGCGGTGTGCATTGAGTGTGAGTGAGTCTGAATGCATCTGAGCGCGATGGAGGCTGAGTATGAGTGAGTCTGAGTACGAGTGAGTCTGCGTGTGAGTGAGTCTGAATGCGAGTGCGCTTGGGTACGAGCGAATGAGTCTGAGGAAGAGCAGGAGGCGGAGGAGGAGGAGGAGGAGAAGGAGGATGAGGAGGGTGTGAGGTTTGAGGGGGAGTAAATCCAGAGACGTCGGAGCAATATCAGGAAACTCTCTCAGGAGATGGGCAAAAAATCACGGCGGGAGGTTTCTGGTCGTTTTCGGTTTCTGGGGGCCCTCGCTGGGCCCCGGGACCGTCAAAAAGAAACAATTCGGAATGAAAAACCGGCCCCGGGGGAAGGGTCGGAACCGCCCGGGGCCCCGCATTGAAGAAGACATAGCGTTTTGGGGGATAGACCCCGGCAGGGGTCCGTGGACCGTGTCTGAACGGAATTCGGCCAGGCGGGAGGGTCGTCGTTGTCTCAGCCGGCCCTCCTCCGACGTCATGCGCAGACCACGTCGCACGACACGTCGACTCCGCAGAGGAGAAGCGCGAGCCGCGCAGGAAGCGGCGATCTGGGGTCGGAGAGTGCACTCAAGCAGCTATGGGGCCCATGAGAAGGCACCTGGTTCTTAACGATTGCTTTTCCATGTGGCTGTCCGCGCACGCCAGGATATGGGCGCCTCTTCCGACAGCGGAAGTAAGACGTACAAAGGGAATGCGGGCTCGCCCGCGGAAAGCGGGCAGAGGCCGGCAGGAGCCAGAGCTGGTACACTATTGCAGGTGGCAGG